CTCTTTTTTTTCCTGAAATGTTTTGCCTGATTAATGAATCCATTCTTCCTTCCAAGCACGGGGATCTTGCGTCTCTAAGTCTTGCATCATGAGGAAGTACACAAAAATGCCAATAGGTCGAGTCAAGGCATGCCACCAGTCTGATTGCTACATTCCTGCGTACCTCCAGTCATGCCTGAGCATACGTTGTTCTCTCCCATGACACAGCAGACCCAGAAACAAGACAATGTATTGCCGGGCAAGTATGGTGTTCAAAGCAGCCGTTTATATTGTGGAGCCCTCTGGAGCTGCAGTTCGCATTAATGAATAACCTTTGGTACAAAGGCCACAGACACTCTGAGATTGTCTGGGGATTAATAGAGCCAGGTGTGTGAAAGTTTATGTTTGCTGCCCGAAAAGCTGACATTCTGTGTCAAAATTTTCCCCTTGGCACATTTGTCAGATTGAATGGACATAACTTTACCAAAATAAACAATCAATATCGATAAAATGAAATGAAAATAATAGAATGAAGCTCGCCATTTTGCTTAATCCAGTGAGGCTGTTTGAACAAACTTTGTTCCTTCTGTTTCATTAGCATTAGTTAAACCCTAATCAAAATGTAGGTTTTTCACGATTTTTTTGAGAATACAGTTGAGTTTGAATTCAGTACTGTGACAAAGCCTTCATTCAAGAGTTGGTAGTTTTTTAAAGACCAGAAAAGAATTTGTCATTCCAGTCCTTCAAAATGAGCCACATGAATGGCACCAATATTTTAGATACCAATCTCACTTCACGAGCATGCTATGCTCTCTTCAACATCTGTATCTGCCCAAAGACCCCTGAATGATGGAAACTCATATTATCTTTGGCCCAGAACAAATGTTTTAATTAGGCCACACTCTCCACCTTGAAAGATTTAACGGGTGCACCGATCTGAGAAATGACACGTCTCGGCTCCGGTCATTTCAAAGGTTGAGTTTGCTCCAGAAGTTTACTCGTTAAAGGGACTGCGAATCGGAGGTGGCCCATCGATGGATTTCGAACCAGATTTCTCGGACAATTTCTCGGTACAATTTAGATTTGTACGCAGCTTATGTGAGGCCATCACATTTTTTTGAATGAGTCGTGGATGGACACTTTGTCTATTGTACCCAGAATGGTGGCCGACTTGAGTCTTGAGAAGTCATGGGCGAAATGAGAGTCTTTAAAATATTGGCCTAGATACTGCTGACATGTTGGATTGATTGACAGGACCTAGGGGCCACCAAGAGGCCCGCCCCAGGTCAGTATGAGGGCCCACCACAAACCCACAGAAGTACCAGCCTGCATCACGGACTTTACCCCAGGGTCCTCAAAACATTCATTTGGGGTCGAACCGCCCAATTATGATTTTTTTTCTCTCTGGTCACTCGCCGTGTGTTTGATCTCTTGTAAAGTGCAGAGCTAAGTGAACATCTGGATCCTGAGTAATTTTTTATAGTGAAATCATTCTCACTTTGCACAATGATCCATTAAAAAAACACATTCTGTAACTGTTTCAGATTTCAAATAGTTGAATTGGCTTGCTTTGTTGCAAAACTGTAATTGAAATTTGATTTATTGGGCCTACATGTGCAAAATTGGAACTTTTGAAAATGTTGTTGCAGTGATAAAAGTTTCATTTTGGCTACCCTCAAGTTGCCTGCAAAACTTGTCTACAAGACGAGAACTTTGAAATTGTTGTAATAAGAAAATTGCATGGTAAACCAGTACTAGTCTCTAGATACGTGTGGGCCAAAGGTTTATATCAAAACTTGTGAACAGGAACAAGCAGTTTGAAACTGCTGTTGCTATGCAGTAAAAGATGAAACTTGGACTGTTTGTAAGGTTTAAAAAGATTATGCCTGCAACCAATTAAGCCTTAATGGAATAATCTGGTTTGAGTGTTTCACAACAAAAACATGTAGCTGTTCCTCCTTAAAGAGTTAAGAAGAATTGGTAACACATTTCCTATCCATGCCAGAGATGTTACTGGAGATTCCACAATCTCACTCGTGCCCAACAATTGTGCAGCCCTCCCCAAACAAGTTGTGCCCCTGCCCTGCCAAATTAAAATCACATGGCTGGTCCCTGTATTGCCCCTGACAGGTCCAAAGTGACAAGCGGGGCCCCAGGGCTCCCAAATTCCTCAAATGTTGATGTGGTTAGGGCTTTGTTACTTTGAGCTCCCCTATTATAAGGAAATATTTCTCAACCCTCCAAGTGATACCAGAACTGTGTTCCCTCCATGGTTACATTAGCTTTGACAAAAAGTTGTTTTTCTTTTTTTTCCAATTCCTAATGGTGAAAATGTTTTTAAGTTACTTCTGCATAAATTTTGTTCCATCAGGTTTGTTTGGACTTGAAGAATAATTTAATTTGTGATTTCACAGGCATTGTGCAGACGGATGACTTTTGACCTGTTCTCTTTTATTGCGCTTTAGTTTGCATTCAGAGAATAGAAATTTCACATTTACTGTGACTCTCCCTGAAGTGGTGTCGGCAACCTCAGCTTCAAGAAACTTTCTGGGCTAGAACGATTCCCAATACTTGTTTTGTTCTGTGAGTGTGACTTTTTTGTCATGTAAATTACATTATTATACATACAATGCTGCCCTGTGTAATGGTGTTTCCATTACAGAGCTGTCTTGTTTTCCCATTGAATTTTCTCTGCGTCCTTTGGCAAACATCAAAACCAGATCGTTAGTCTGAAGGAAGGAGAGAAAGAAAAAATTCGTAGAGACACCCGTCTGCTTGTTACTGCGCCAACTTCACATCGTTTCTGACAAGGGTTTGAAATTGAATCAGAGTCGCAGGGCCCAGCAGCTTAAACGGATTAGGCAAAGTGTTAAAAGCAGGCTGCAGTGTGTAATCCAGTTATTAGATAGGAAGCTCAGCATAGGAATGTACAAAAAATGCTGCCGTGGCAGCATGTAGCCCGTCAAAACAAGTTTGTAGTGGGTTTTTTTTAAGAAAAGTTGAAAAATATGAGTGGATGGAATCTGTCATGTACAAAATAGAATGACAGTGGCGAAGATTGAGGATAACTGTGTTGTTTTTGAAAGTTTCAGTGTTTCCATTGCAGGCATTGTTCGTTAATGCTCATGTTGATTGCATTGACTTGTTTTTCACAAAGCAATTTCAAGCAGAAAATTTGGCTCGATGTACATGTGTGTTTAACATGCATGACATTCTGTGAGGCCAAAATGCCTTCTTGTACATGTACATGTGCTTGCATAGAAAATTACTTTGTGGATAGACAAGTGTTACCGTTGTCTTGTGGAGTTTGTGAACAAAAACTGATGGTGGTGTATAAATTGGCATACTGTGATCAATGTGAAACCACTTTCAATTCTGGTTTCCAGGTTTTGCATATTGTTTTTGACATTCTCTTAAAGGGATGTCGAGGTGAGAGTTTGTTCTCAATAACCAGTAATTTGGATGTGAATACTTTTACCTGTTTGAGTAGTGATTTCTTGTAAATGAACCTGACTTGAACTGAAAGTTAGAGTGATAAACCTGAGTGACTCTTTATCCCAAAATAAGAACCTTTGTTTTTATCCATCGACAACTGTCCAACAGTTCTGAAATTGCTGAAGCGTTTTGGAGGGTGTAGCAGGGCATGGTTAATGGGCGACATTGGAAATGTTCCATGGTGGTAGCAAGGTGTGATCGACAGTACTCACCTGTGTTAGTACCAGGGTGGTGTGCCTACAACAGGCCTGAAGTGTCACGAGTGCTGATCATGGGGTTGGCAGCGTCATTTTATGACCATAAATGTTTACTGTTGCTTTTACTGTTGCTTTCACGGATGCAGACTGCATAGGTCTTGGTCTTTCTTAGCACTATGGTCCCACTCAGCCAGGGTATGGTCCCCACTAGTGAGAAACCAAGGGTTGGTGCAATCACCCCCCCCCCCACCATCGCAATATTATGTCATTGGGAATTGGTGGGGAGTAAAACTGTCATCACTGCCCTGGGTTGCTGCCTTTTTTGTGGTTTATTGGCCCTGGACTATAAAATGCACCAAATGACCCAGAGTGATGAAATGTCAACTCTCAGATCCTCCCTGGAAGAGGTTGGGGTCTGTAGACTTAAACTGATCCTGATCATTGGGGCAGATTGCACTGCCCCTGATGTTGGGGAAGCCAAATGCATACTTAGTTTTTATGCCTCTGTTGAGTGGTGTACGAACAGAGAGGTGAACAGGTTGATACTGGCCACAGTACTCTTGATTTCAAGTTTTGTTTTGTTTTGTTTACTCCTCTTCACTACTGTATCATCAACATTTAAGCGATTCCTGAAATGTGAAAGTAATTGATCCAGGACTGCAGGCCATGATATTATTAAGTATGATCTCTCACTGTTTTGGCCAGATTAAACTATAAAAATGAACCCAAAATGGTAGATTTTCAGAGTTTTAATCATTCAGGCTTTGTTACTTTTTAGTACTTTATACAAAAAACCAACTCCAACTAAAATACTTAATGATTCACCTGATCGAAGCCACCTTTGACAGAACTAATCTCTTGGTGGCTTTTAAAGCCCACAAATATTTTTTTTTTCAACTGTGTTAATTGTTACAAATATGTGCCCAGTGTTTTGTGGATTCTTCTTCATTATCGTCTAATCTCAACTGACTGTTCTCCTGACAAGAGCTAGCTTACTTAGTTTTACTCATTTGTAATCTAAAGAATACATGTACTTGTAGGTTTTCATTGGAAAACATTTTCTTCCGAGATTTTTGCGCAGTCCCCCAACAAGGTTCCCCTTTTAATCTAACCTGTCATTTTTGTACAGATTTTAGATGTCCTTTTTTGTTACAATGGACTGCACAGTTTTAATATCTCTGCCAAATAGCTGTGAGGCTGTTTATTGCCAAGTATTGCAATTCATATTCTCATTTTAGTCTGTCACTTTGCTCCAGTTTTGAGATTGGACATATCATTCATGGATGAAGTTAAACTTTATTTTTCTGTCCCCTTGTGTGTATTTGGCAGGATGCCCCTGCTTCAGTATCGTTAGGTCTTCGGATGGAAGAAATGATCTTCAACCTGGCCGACACACATCTCTTCTTCAATGATCTGGAGGTAAGCTTGGTGACTTCTTGAAATCTGTTTGATAAATGTAGAAACTCATGCCTCTGCGGGCAGTGAGTGATCTTTATACAAGAAATGTTGCCAAATTTGGTAATGTGACAGCCATTTTATCCCGACATCTTGATTTTTTACAGAGGTTCTCAGTGCTGCATTTTTTGTTTAGATTTGAAATGCGTTTGATCTGTGGTTGTCTAACCATGTGTTCATTCCTGTGTTTGGGTTAGGCCTATTTCATTTTCCCCTTTTTAAAAAAATACTTGGCTGGGTTCCAGCTTACATGTATAGGCCTTAAAATGCTAATTGATCCGGTCACGTCTTGACTCGGCAAATGAAATTCAGAAAAGCTACCTCCCCTATCGTCCTTTTTGAGACTTTTTCCTTTAAGTCAAAGCACCGACGATCCATCATGTCCCATGTTCCTCCCTTCAACATCTTACCTCCAAAGATCAGAATTAGGTGACCATGTTTCCGCTAGCCACACACATTATGATAACAAACCTCAAAAATAGTTTGCACGGAACTTCACGCCTCCAAACCTTTGGCTCCTTGATATTTTATAATTCTGACAAGTACATGTAGACTGAGGTCAGGAGTTTTGGAAGTTTCCAAGAAAGATCATCATTCATTTGATTGTCTGTCAGAAGAATAGTTATGATCAGGGTGTTTTTGATTTGAAATGCAAGATTAGAAACATACTACTCCCGAAGATCAAAGACAAGAGCCAACACTTTATTGATCTCTGTATAGCCTCTTACCACCATGTGGAAATGTCCAAAACAATGTTGAAGGCTTTTTTTTTTACCAGCTAGAAGGATTTTGGATGTGGTCAAATCTCTTTCTTTGGCTTTTTTAAATCACCATTTTTTTCACTCATCACTGACATTGTGTCACCTTCTCTTCCAAACTTTTCCATAAAATTTGCAAGGATGGGGCATAATAGCCCTGTCAAATCAATGTGCTTTTTAATGGGAAGGACTGCTTTTATATGGAACGACTGTGGGATTCCACAAAACAGCAGCTCCTCATGCAATCGCATAAAACAATAATGACTTCCTAACTGGTATCACTTAAGAACTTTATCGTCACTACATTTTTTGTCATCGCAGTTTTGGTTAATGCACCATTTTTCACAGTCAGCCACACGTAGGTCTCATTCATGCTGAAAGTGGCCTTGTCTGTATCGGTCGTGCCTTCCTTGTATTTGAAACACAAGCTGGTGTAATCAATACGGAAAGATAACCGATTTGAAATTAAGGTGGTTAAGACTGAGCCCATACGTCAAGGAAAGTTATGTCCCGGGCAAGCGTTGTAAAAGACATGCGATATGCGCCATATTTACATAGAAATTAGAATCAATTTATAATCTGCCGAAAATCGCGTCAGATCTGTCAATCGAAGGGGCGAGATATGCAGAATTATTAGAAACTACCGAACGGAGAGGAGGATGAAAAGTGAAGGAGAGGAAAAGAAAAGGTTGAACAGGAAAGCTGCACGTGGGACGCGCGCTGCGTTTAAGCGGTGAGGAGTTTGGCGGCGAGAAATCTCACGCAAGCGGAATCAGAAAATCAATTTGGCTACGTGTAAAGTAAGATGGGCGGCTGTCCCGTGGCAGTTTGCCAGATACCGAGCCACGTTGGGGCAGGCAGGACGCTCGGTTACCGGGGATTGCAAATTGGAGTCATCCCAAGAGAGAGAAAGAAAAAAGAGAGGGAAAAAAACAGGTGATGCACAAGACTTGTGAAACCAGGCCATTCGGCAGGTAGGGCCAGCTGGAGAATCTTGCCCTAGCGTTGCAGATCGGAATATATAGACCAGCGCAATTGATAGCTGTTTTTATGTGGACCTTTTGTCTTGGCATGGGAATTGAGATATTGGACCATTTCATATCGCAGATAATCATTTGGCCAGCTCTTGGGGTGTTCGGCATTCAGAAATATATAGATTTGAAATAATTCTGGGTTTGATGTTTTGCTGATACACGTATGCGCACTTTCTGACAAAAGAAATCGTCAGTAGTAATTCAAGGATTGTGTGGGAGATTGTAGAAAAATGATTGGAAAACATTGCTAGACTTGAATGCAGCAGTGGGTTTGTTACCAGTGTCAGAACATTTGTTCATGGTTTCGCAGGACTCATTAATTTCATGCTTTTGGTATGGGCCCCCCTCCTACTGTTTGGAAAATGTTTAGGAAAATAGAAGCATCTCTAAAACATGGCCATGTTGCGTTGTGTTGTCATGGGTGACATAATGTGACATCAACAGTGGTGGTGACATATATGTAGTCCCAGGCAGTAATCAAGCGACATGAGCAAAAGGATCGAAGTAGTCATTTTGCTCAGAAAATCGGGCCAAATTTAACGAAAAGTAGGCTTCACGATGTGGGAAAACAGTCCGAACTGGGGCTGGTCATTGCCCTGGCGCAGGCAAAGCAACGGCTGCCTCAGCCAAAGTATGCTACCCCACGCATGGACAACTATCTAAGATATCTTTACGGAAGCCGAAAATCAATTGTTCACCTAACCCATGGGCCAGCATCGAGGATTGATCGAAGATCACGCAGAGGAAACAGCCGGGGAAAGACGGAGACCAAAAAAAAAAAAAAACGGTGTTGGGGGAACAGCATCGCTGGCTCATCACAGGTACTACGCAGCGCAACTTAGTGCCCGAGGCATGCTGGTAGGCTTCAGCCAATAGGAGTGCTTAGAGTCTCCCTGTAGGAAAAAAACAGAGAGGGACACTGAAATGAACACCCTGCAGAAAAGGGGGTTCATGGTTTTTGTTCCCTTCGTATTTCTCCATGGCTTTTGGTAATTCCAAGCAAGGACAAGAGAAGGAAAAATTCTGGCTGTTCCTTTTTTTTTATTTTGGTGGGTATCCCCCTACCTGATTGATCTGTCCATGCCTAAAGGCATCACCAGTCAAATCAGTTTTGCCGGGGAATGAATTACGGCTAGTTAGCAAAGCCCTAATGTGTTTAGAGCCAGGAGTGAGGCGAATTATTTTAGCCCCGGGATAATTTCATTGTGTTGGAAATGGTTTATTTTGCAAGAGCCTCCGCCACTGGACAAGGGACAGTGTTTGCTTTAGAGGGGCCCAGTTATCAGGGTCTTGTTAGTTTCTGTTTATTTTACATTGGCTTTTACCCCCTTCCCCTATCCCCCCCCCCCACAGATTTTGTTCCAAGATCACCAGGAAGATTAGTCAAACTCAACTTTTGGTGATGAAACATGGAGAAAAACATTCAAGAAACCGTTCTCATTGAATAGTTAGAATCAAACAAAACAGTTGCTGGAGTGACTATTGAAACTAACAATGACATCTCATAGGATAGGATAATTGTGTTAAAAGCAGCAAAAGGAAAGCACAAATGACCAGTCTGAGTGTTACATTATGTAAATTTGAATCAGAACCTGATAAAAACTGATAAAGCATAATGATTAGTGTCAGACTTGAATTGTAACTGTATTTGTACGGAGTTGTATGGCTGGTGATAACTGTAAGTAACAGTTGAACTGGCTTTTTTGAGGGGTCAACTCGTCAGGACTGTCAAAGTCAGCCGAACTTCTCTTTAGCTTCACTTCATTACGGTGGGGCAGCGAGATCAGATCCACCTCCATTTGTTGGTGGATCTCATTTTCCTAATGTGTTTTCCTGGGAGTGTGTGGAGAGTCTTTGCGTGTATGTGTGGCTCTGGTGTTCTCTCTGGCTTCCCGTCCCATCCATTTGTCAGAAGAATTTCCTTCTCTTCTCTTCTTTTTCTCTCTGCCATTCCTTCCCCCCCCCGCCCGGATGGGTAAGAATTAGGGCAATTGCTGTGCGCTCCCCGCGGTACGGGGGCCATTTTTGTCGGGGGCCCTGTCAGCAAAATGAAATATGCATCCCTTGGAGAGGTCCATCGCCGACGCTGCGGCGTTGTTGTATCTACTCCCCTCCCTGGCAAAGCATCTCATAATTTGGAGATTTGGAGCCGTCTGTTTACGCCAGCTGATCGAAAAGGAAAAAAAAAGAACGAGCCTCTCCCGTCCTGTGGTCTATTTTCAAGGAGTCTTCTTCCCTCCCAGCAATTTTTTTTTCCAGGCTCAGCTTGCCGCGGGGCTCTCCCAATCTGTTCATCTTCGACAAACCCCTTGAGCATAAGACCGGTTTACCGCTCGGGCCCCGCCAAGCATTCTAACCCGGCCCAAGCCATGCTACATCGGTGAAAGCCAAGCCTATTTTCTCTGTTCCTTGTCCTCACGTCATTTTCTAGATGAAAGAAAAACAGCCCGGGGCTCCTACTCGCCCAAGCAGCCCTTATTATTTTATATTTTGTCTGGCGATGGTTCATACTATTTCCCTACCTCCATCTCCGTCTCCCTCTCTGTCTATTACTTCACTTTTTTTCCCCCTTCTTTCCTGTCCTCAAGCTTGCCATCATATTTTATGGAGATCTTGAAAATGAGTTGCCAGCGGCAAGCAGCTGTAGAGGTTGTTCACTAATAGAAAAATGCTCGCTGGCCATTTTTTTTTTCTTCAGCTTGGTTCAACCCATCCCCCCCCTTTAATAAAAGAAAGAAAGCTGGAGGAATGTTGTCAGTTACCCGGCCGGCCGCAGCCAAATTCGGTCACGTCATAGATTGATTAGTATTGGTGTGTTGATTTGGTCCCGGAGGCGATAATCGGCAGTCTGCAATCAATTCTTGTCGAGGTGGCTCGCCAGTCCGACAACCCCCCTCTCCCCAGCACTATTGTCAGGAGGGTGGGTTGGAAGCAGTCCATTCATTCCCCAATAGCTGAATAGTTAGTCTGTGGCCGCCCAACCTATGTTATCACAACTGTGGATGGTACTGGGACTCAGTCGGTCAAGCTTCCAGTTTTCCCCGAAGCAGACCTTTAGAAATCTGAACTTGATGCCTTTAGTTATAATAATAAATAATAAATGTTTCTAGAGTTCTAGAGGCATCTGTCTGTTTTTGAATGAGTGAAAATCAGTCTGCTGTCTTACAATTTCTAGTTATTCAGGGGTGTTTCTGCTTTTTGAAGTTTACCGTGATCACTTTTTGCCTTTCTTATACTTTTCACGGATTGAGTAATCTTTTTTTATTTTGACAAGTGTTTAGGGAAAAAGTAATAGGCTGTTCAAAAATTGGAATTCATATGAACATTTACCTGTTGGCTAAGTCCAGAAATTAGGGGTCCAAAAGTGACATTTTCTTGTCCCTGTTACATCTGACCTTTCTTATTTGACATGGAATTATCACTGGAATTGATTTCAAAGTATTTGTATTTGTTTGGCAGGTAATTTACATGAATTCATCACTCGTGGATATTAGAATTTTTTTCTGAACTTACAAACATGTCAGATGTGACAGGACACGAAATAAAAAATGGACCCCTAATTTCTTCAATTACTCTGTGAACTTTGAGCCTAGTACACAGACTCCTGTAAAACACTGATCACAACATTCTGCATAAGAAAGGATACTTGCCTGTTTACAAAATTCTTACATTTTCCAGGTTTTTCTAATCTCAGCCCCATTTAAGATTTGCATGAATCATACAAAAGGATTGTGATTGTTATGCAAATACACAGATGTACACTTCAGGGAGGTTTATGTTAATGAGATGTAAATTCGCAGTACTTAATAGCTGCATAAAGGTCCAGAAGCTCCATCTGGGTTTCAACAGGGGCCCAGGAATGTCCCCCTTTTTGTGGCAAGCAAGGCCCTCGCCTGGGGGAAAGACAGTTTAACCTTGGGGGTGCCACAATAGCCTGGTTGTCAGGCAGACCCACCTTCACCCAACCCCTGCACTGACCACACTGTCTGCCCTCTCCAATCAACCAGACTAACCTGTTTACTGTGAAAACAAATGATGCCATGGCCTCAGGGTCAGGTAACAGACCAGCCTCTTGCTTGGTTTTTAAAGAAAAAGTTTACCCTCCTTTCCCTTTGGAACCTTTAGGGAATCCAAGGTTATGCTTTAACCTCAAGAGGACTTGCAACCCTGGATTTCAATATCCAGTGCACTATTTTTTCTTCTGAGACTGAACTGCTGTTGTCATCCACAAGTTATGACACCATTTTTAAATCAGTGCCACTCTCAAAAAAGGTTCTCAAACTGTAGAAGGAAGGTGTCAAAAACATTATTCCATTTACTGGAGATGTTTGTGCATATAAATGCCCATTCAGGGACAGAAATGTTAATTTAACAAAATCTTTTTATTCTAGGAAACTTCATGGGAAGGATCCAGGTCTCTGCATGTTCATGCATAGCAAATTTCAGGAATGTTTGTCTTTAGACAGACAGACAGACACAAAGAGGTTTTAGCATTGAGCATGTCCCCCCCCTCACCTTTCGTGTTATTTTGTGAGAATTTCGAGAAAAAAAAAACAGCTCTCCCATACAGGCCATTTTCAAAAACCTTCAAAAATTTCTCAGTCATGATATACAGTAAAACTGTTTCAAACTGATTTGAATCTTGGACAAGCGGCAGTGGCTTGCGACCTTGTCATTCAGACTGCAATTGGAACGTTGGTCAGGGGCACTTTCTTGATCTCTGATCGCAGATAAGATTTCAAATACTTTCTTTGGTTTCAGTTCAGATAGGAAATCTGACTCGAGTCAATGCCAGATAACAATGTTGCAACTCAATCGATAAGTTGAGGTATTTTACAAGGTATGCTACCCCTTTTGAGATCAACTGATTTCCTTGCTACGTTTTCCTTTTACAAAGGCCTCTTGACAATTCCCCCCCCCCCACTTTTGTGTTTAAGTGGGATACCACATTTATTGTCCTTGTCAGCTCACAACTTGAGGATTATTGCAACATTTGTCTCCATTTTCGTTGTTCTGCTTCAGGAGTGCGATCAAGTCCACATAGATGATGTGGCATCAGACGACAATGGCCAAGACCTCAGGTAAGAATACTGGGAGATCACCATAGCAACTGGCTCTAGAAACGATGGAGATTCAGATTGTTTGTCAACATTGTATTTCACAATTAAGTAATTTATCATGATTTCAGAATAAGTCTCTTCTTGCATTATATAGTATTTTCAATCATGCTTTAAACCTCAAAAAGTCGGATAAATTGTCTGTGAATATGTGCTCTGAAGGATTGTGAAACAATGATCAGAGAATAAAATGCCCTGATGAGTGGGGTGTCTTGCCTAACTCTCAGTGCCTACTGAAGAAAAACTCAAATCTGCCTAACTGTTACAAAGATGCTGTATTGGCCAGCATATTTGCCTAACTATGCTGCCCTAAATCACCAGTCAAAGATTAGCCAATCACCTCGCACTGCCCTCTGGCGATAAACCAATCAGCTTTATTTCCTACCATCTCCCGTGGACCCTCTCCTTTCCTCCTTCCCCCCTGGAGCCACTTTGCTTCATTTCGCTGGCTTCCCCTCATTTATTTTCCTGGAGAAATTGATCCCATTTTCTGCTCGGTTGGCTGCGAAAACAAATTTCCAAGCAGGGAAAGCCAATCCGCATTGGAGACCAGTATTGCAATATTGATGTCAAAAGTTGTAGCGTTTACCAGTGACTGACACCAAGCCATCGGTGCCTAGGGGAAGGAGCGGATTAGTTATGCATTCAATCACCATTTACAACACCCGCATGAAAGAATCTTTTTGCATGGCGACAGATTTCAAACATCGGATCAATCGGCATATTATGCACCTGATAAAAAAACTAAAAATTAGTAGCATTGGTCTCAGTGGTTGAGAAAACAATCGTAGCTATTTCATATATGGCAGGTTATTCAGATTAATTGTAACTCTTATTTGTACGGCAGAAAGGCATGAAAATCTGTGCACAAAAGAGGTTTTTATTCACCCAAGTGAGGAGAAACAGACAAACCCAAACAAAACAAAACAAAAATGACCTTTAATATTTATTGTGACTATTAAGTTTCAATCTCCTAGTCTTGTTCTGGAGCAGAGATGTTTGTGTAGTGTCTTTGGCAAGTGTTACTGCCGTGTTCCCCCCCCCCATCCCACTTTTTTTTTTCTCTCCGTTTGCTGCACCTCCGCCCACACTGTCAGTCCGTACCTTCAGGCAAACAAGTCTGTTGCATATTTGTATCATATTCTTGGCTGCCTAGAAAGGCTCAGGTTTTTTCTTTTCTCCTTTTTTTTCCCATAAGTGTATTGTATTGTTTTTTTGCTTTTTTTCCCCCTACGCTCCAAAAACCTGTGACATGTGTCTCACAGCCCTCCCTTGACCTAGCCCTACCTAGCTCGGGGCACAGTCCTGTCAGATTTGTGCAGATCATTAGCCTGTTCTGCATCTGTCAAGAAAGTAACAAGCAGCCCCCGGTCTGTGCAAGAATTCTGAAAATGAAATAGCAAACAAGGCATCAACCTTCTACTGCTGTTCCTATGAAATAAGCGTTTTGATTGTGCCCTCTCCAACTTTTGACAAGTACACGCTCATGGACATTGCGTTAAAAATTGTCGATCCTTTATGATATGAAAGCCTGTAAGATGGACATAGCAATAACATGGGTTCGATGACAGTTTGCAGTAACATCTTTTGGGGTGACTTGGGCTCTGAAAAAAAAAGGCGTATTTGACATTTTGGATAGTATGCATTCTCTACTAAGTTGGAATCTCCTGATGACTGTTAGAGCATGCTTTCTGAAACATTGAGTCCTCTCTGTTCTTTCAGAACCACACTGATGAGAATTTGACCCGGTGTTACCACAAACTTTCATCTTAATATTGTACATGTACAGATTGTGTTCAGTAAGAATTGGCTAGTGTTTGACATGACATCTCGGCGCACGAGTTTTGTAAGCAAGCCCACCTGAAAAATTGTTACATGATACACCGCAATCCGCATGGATTATTCATCTCTGCTTTGGGGCCGGCCCCAAGGAATAGGAACAGCTAGCGTCTCGTGTTGCCCACGAACTGACAAGACAACCTCCACAGCCTTTTGTTTTGACAGGATGTTGTGGGATTTATCCACCTGTTTCTTTTAGCCAACCATTGTTGCTGATATTTAAATAACAATCGGCTTCACCTGCCCTTTGGCTGTGTTACAAGGAGATATCCCACTAACACTCTTTTGGTATTATTGATATTTTGGGGGGGTCGAAACAATTTTTATAGAATTGATAATTCTGAAATTATGCTACTCACCTTCTAATGAAATAGTTGCACACATGTGTAGATGTTATAACTAGGAATTTCCACTTTTAAGTACCTATTTGCGTCTTGTGGATATGGTGGGAGTGGTTTCTGTAAAATTCACTCTAAGCAAGACTTCCTTAGGTTGAAATAACTCCCTGTCTCTTGTATGGATCCCAGTGATGAAGTTTCCTCTTCTTTGGCAGTAACTACAACTTCCAAACGGACGGGTTCCATGCGGCAGCGACAAGCGCCAACCTGTGTCTCGCCACGGGGGTGCGCGGCGGGGTGGACTGGATGCGCAAACTGGCCTACCGGTATCGCAGAATAAAGGAGATCTACAGCGCCTACAAGAACAATGTTGGAGGTAAGAATGAAAAAGCTGTGGATTTCATCTTTGGCAAGATCACAATCAGAAATCTTTTGCGGAAGTATCCTTGTGACAAAACTGCCGTTATTAGTATTTTTAAGGCAACACGTACAGTGCGTTGTCCCTAAGTACTACCCTGTCAAAGATCCCCTGCCCTGCTTTCTTAATTACACCCTTCCTCATCCCCAGTTCATGACCTCAGAGTCAACCGTGTTCTGTTTTGAAACTTTTGGGGGACAGATGAAAGTGTTATATATGATGTGTGATTCTGATGTCTTGATTTTTTTTTCAAGTGTCTATTTTATCTTATTCCTTCTTCAACTTCCCACAGTTTACCTCTTTCTGTCCCCGGATGTGTGTGTCATCCTCTCTTTGTCCGTCTTCCCCACCCCTCCTCTCCGTAACCGTTGTTCTCATCATGGCTGACACCGTTGCATCTCTCTCTTGTGTCTTGACCCATAGACTTGGTGTCCCTTTTGCCAGCAGGTTTGCTGGGCCCGCAAAAACGGGAGCAGTGGCTGCAGCTGAGAGCGGAGATCGAAGCCATGACCGACTCATGGCTGACCATCGCGCTCAAGTCACTCTCCATCATCAATTCAAGGTAAACATGGCAAGGCATCCTTTGATTCAAAATCAGTCCTCAGTGCAGGACCATCACCATATGCTGTCAAGAGCAGTTGCTGCAGAAATCTCTTCAGGATAACCCTAAGGTCAAGACACATTTACCTAATCATCATTTTTTTAGCCTTGGAAGAGGAATAATCAGTGGTCTGTCTTGAAGGTTTGGTAACCATGGCAGTGCATCATTTGTCAGTTCTTGTTTTTTTTTTATAGATTCACTCAGAACCCAAAGATACATTCAAGAGCAATTGATGTAGTGTACCACTGCTTTTTCTGCTTCATTTTTTTCCGGCAGAAATCCTATGGAAAATCATGTAACTACAGAAATGCTGCCCTAATTATATCTTTTACAGTCTAGGTAGAAATGGAATAATGACTGGTCTTGAAAGTTTGGTAACCGAGGAAACATATCCTCAATAACCTGTATTTCTCCGTTGTGAAAGTATATAGGTCAAGGTTGGAAATCTAATCAACCTAGAATTGAAGTTACTCGCATGTCACCTGCAGAACTTTTTCCTTCTTTGAGTTCTGGGATAACTTGTTTGCCCATCAAGGCCACATTCATTTTTGGTTGGGAAAATGCAGCCAACCACCCGGCAACAAGGCAGAGAGTAAATTTTAACTTCAAAGATATTAGCAGCTAACTACCAAGATTTTGCTCTACCCAACGACTGGTGAAATTTTTCTCCATAAACCTGGTTTCAGAAAAGTAGGTGACAGATTTGAGCTATACTATTGAATAGGTCGTAATCACATTTTTATCTGTTTATACTCTCCGCTTTCAACAGATCAAATTGTGTTAACGTGTTAGTCACAACCACCCAGCTTGTACCAGCTGTAGCGAAGGTTCTTCTCTACGGTCTTGGTGGTGTTTTCAACATAGAGAATGTCTACAGTGCCACACGGGTTGGAAAAGAGAGCTGCTTTGAGCGCATTGTGGCGCGCTTCGGTCGCAAAATCACTTACGTTGCAATCGGTGATGCCAAAGACGAGGAACAGGCTGCTAAGCAGGTTGGTAATGCTCAGGGTTATTTTTTATTTTGTTGTTGGTTTAGACCAACCTGTTGTGTCAAAACTGTCATGAAATTGACCATTCAAAATTATTCTTGAGGGAAGAGGGTTTCACATCAATGGCTTAGCTGGGCAGGTGTAGAAAGCTTCATTTTGGAGAAAGAGAAGTTTCAAAGGTTGGGTTTTATTTCAATGATCACTGTGACATTCTGCTGAAATGAGCTGTCAAACCTAAGCATATCAGAAGAACCAGACTTTTCCAAAGATAAAACTACAGTTTATCTTTTCAGATTATCTTTAGTTGTCTGTGTGATCACTAGGTTGGGTGGGCAGAGTGAAAGGGGATAGAAGGAAGAGCTGTTTTAAACTCTAGACCCGAAGGTTCGGATCAGCCTCGGCCAGATTTGTTTCTTGGAGATGGATGGTTTTTACAGTGTCACATTGCTCCCAGGCGCAGGCACTGAATAAGGTAGACCATGACCGATGACGTCTGTCCAATGTTTGGGTTACCAGTGAAATGTAATTAGCGTCATTTAATGAGTGCCCCCTCGCTTGTCCTACCTAAAGCGGTACCCAGACTCTCCCAACTCACCCCCCCCCTTTTCGAATATTTATGGAGGAAACTTATCTTGTCCTAGTCCACAGCATTGCCCAGGGCTACGACGCTAGCGCCAGGCTGTTAATGTGATTGTCACACACCCTAATTGCAATCACTCACAGGTCAATAGGTTGCTAATTAAATCTACCCCTCCATCAAATTTGGCCCGCTCTTTGATGAACTTCTTTACCGAGCCTGGCTTTGACACCCTGCGGCACTCTGGCAATAAAAAGCCCCAAGTGGAAATACAGACTTTTATTACAGCTAATTTTTCCAATGTATTCCAGGGATGGAAGTCTTTTTAGGTCGTTTGGTTTTTTTGAAAGTTTTCGGGGAGCATTCGTCTTCCCCACGGGAGTGAAAACAGCAAAAAATCTGCGAGCAAAACACTGAAGATCACCCACTCCAAAGTTAACGTCAGTTAGAGGCTTATCTTGAATCTCAGCTTATATAGATGCATGTGATGCCGAATTTCTAACTTGTGATCCAACCTAGAACAACTCACCAAAGCCACTTTTGAGTTTAGACCTTAAAAGTATCTTACAAATTCTTAGGAATCCATAACCTTTTTCCAACAAATTCTGAGGAATCCATAACCTTTTTGTCACAAATTCTGAGGAATCCATAACCTTTTTCTTACAAATTCTTAGGAATCCATAACCTTTTTGCAACAAATTCTGAGGAATCCATAACCTTTTTCTTACAAATTCTTAGGAATCCATAACCTTTTTCTTACAAATTCTTAGGAATCCATAACCTTTTTCTTACAAATTCTTAGGAATCCATAACCTTTTTCTTACAAATTCTTAGGAATCCATAACCTTTTTCTTACAAATTCTTAGGAATCCATAACCTTTCTCTTCCTTAGTTCTTGTACCATCTATTCTTATGAGGATACCAAACCAAGGGATATATCAAAACAGGGAGTCCAGTATACTCTTGTTCACATTACACAGAGTCACTTAAACTAATGGCCCTAGGTCTCATTTTGTGGGATCCAGTCACATTTTGGCAAACATTCTTTGGCAAAAGTGATATGTTTGTAACTTGAATCCGGCGTGAGTATCACAAACTTAATTTGCATTTTTCAAAAATCTGCCATTAATGATCTGATGATTGATGATAATTACACAATTGTCATTGGCAGAAAAGTTGGCTTTTCTTCCTATCAAGACAAATAGATCATAACAATTCAACAAAACATGGTCCATGATAATACTGGCAAACAACCAGAGGTGCATTTTCAGACATTAGTTACAGATGTTGGGAGAGGAAAGATATTTTAAGTCTTCATCGAATTTTGAAACTCTGAATGCAGTACTTGTGAAAGTGGCTTTTGTTTGAAGTTGTTACTTGAGGAAGGTGGTCTGTCTTTAGTGGGTCTCTAGCAAGCTTTTTTCCACCGTTGTTCTTTGCCCTGAAGACTGTTGCCAATATCTCCTCAGAATTTAACTTATTGACCGCTTGATTTCCCCCTAAGCCTTCGGCAAACAAATGACCCAGCCATCAGAAACCAAAAAACAAGTGATAGGCCAAGTAACAACAGGCCACTCATTAGGCAAATCGCCTGAAAAGGTTGGGGCAGCCAACTTTCGGGGAGGTGTTGCTTTCCCACCGCTGCAGGGGAAAATCATTGAGGTTTGACCACGGGGCTTGCCAGCCAATAAAGTCAGAGAGATAAGGTTTAACTGGCTGTGGGCAAACAAATCACTGGCTAGAGAATGCGTTCCGATTCTCGAGGAATGAATTATGGTCACTGAAAAGTTAGGAAGCAATCCATTTGTGAGCTAGGAAAAAGCCAGGCCAGGTTTGTCTAACAGTGTAGAAGTATAATGGATGTGATATACAGAAATTTCATTGAGTTACAAAATTTGCAACACCATTCCACTTTGAAACCAAGTAGTGACGTACATTTGTGCGCCAAACGGGTACAGCAGGAGTAGTGAAATTCAGGACAAGCACATTCCAGAGCAAAAATAGTTCGGGGACTTGGGGGAGAGTTAAACCACTTTGGGTTGTTACATAAGGAGTCTGGGAACCACATGCAAATGAAAATCATTACGTTTTTGGACTTGTCAAGAAGTCCCTGTCATATGTTTGGGATGAAGACAGAACCCAGGCTTTTTTATACGTCAGATATGTAGTTATTTTTTTCCTACATTTAAAGGTGTTTTGTATGCTAGAGCAACAGTAATAGAAACTATTTTTGTCAAAGTTAATTTTTTTTCTCTCTGCCCACCTTCAAATTCATCAATCTGTGTTATTAAGACCAAAAGAGAGGGAATTGGCAAACAGAAACCGCTGGGGCGGAGGCAAATTGTGGGGCTGCAGCCCAGATAAGGGATCCCAAGGGAGCCTAGTGTTATCTGGAGTAACCTGGGGGTAAAATGAAGACAATCCGTGGTTTGGCCCAGCAGGCATGGGAAGGGAACACCGGGCTGGTCTCGGGAGACGCAAACAGGCACGTTCTCGTCAAACAACCAGGGCCCAGGCGTGCCGTGGGGGGGGATGTGCAGGGAACTGGACTTGCCAAGCTGTCTCTTAATGATGGGAAAGATTTTTTGGGGGGGAGGGAGGAGGAAAGGACTGAAAATAGCAAATGAAACATTTGTCAGCTCCTCAAAGAGTCCTCATGTCCACTTTACCCCCCGTCAATACCAAGTGGATGTTGTTAACTTTCATTGTATTGTGTCAAAATTGCCTTGAAGTTTTTGCAAATTAAAATCGACCTGTCGAAAAACCACAAAAGGTTCACAATATGACCCAAAATTGTGACTGTTAATGTTTTGTGCATTTAAGATGTAATTTGGGGTTGAAAGGTAACGAGGACATTAATTTAATTAAGGGTTCCTGTTATGTTGCATCAAATAATATTGAACTGTGAAGAAAACAGGTACAGTGAAATTGTAGATGTGAATAAGATTTAGAGGCGAAGGCGAGATAAGACTTTCTTACACCAAAGGAAGGGTACTGAGCTTATGCTGTGACAAATTCGGTCAATTTGTAAAATCTACACTACAGGTTGAATTCTTGTTTGTCACTTTCGATGTGAGCAATGTCTGCCACATTGGGGCCCCTGTACAGGTATGGACCCTTCCAAGTTTACAATTTCCAATCCAGATCCCTTTTTTTTGCTGATAATGGAACCTTAAGCTTGCTGTGCATGTATGTGTGTCCCAGTATGACTAATCCAAAATTCACAGGGAGTGTGTTTTTCCAAAGTTCCAGACTATATCTTCCGTTGTGAATCAGTTGCATGGATCTTTGCTGCGTAATACATAAAGTTTAGGACTTATACAGAATGGCAAATTGGTATAGTCTATGTTCTTACTAAGCAGGTACATTCGTATCTTAGCAGCTCAGTTTTACAACTTTTTCTTGACTTCTGGGGGCTAAAGGCTGCCCGGTTTGA